GCTTTACCAAATAGGCTGTTGTATGACATTTTTGAAAAGCGCTTGTTATGGGCTTTCCAACGATGTATCGCAAGTAGAATCGTGCCATTTAAAATAATTTTTTAGTAATTTTTTTAGTTCTAGAGATTTTGCCGATTGCAAGTTTTAAAATTGACACCCTGTATGTATAATCTACAAGGATTGCATTTTTTAGTTTCTTCTTATACTTTATACTACTCTCTTCTCCGAAACCAGAGAAGAGAGGGGCCCAACATACGTCTTTCGCGGGGGGGGGGTGGGGCAAAGTTTCTAGTTACGCCACTGATTAAAATACAAGTTGCAGAAGGTTTCAAGCACAAATTTGAAATTCCGAAAAGTCGCATTTTGGCGACTTGAGGAACAAATGAGTGCTTGAAGAACCTTCTGCAACGAGTGTTTTATACTATTTTTTCTATTTTGTCGTTTTATATCATTTTATAGATTAAAAAAAAAAATAATCTAGGGAATTTTGCGACGGTTGGTGACATTTATGTGGAATTATTCTAGGCGGCTTTGAAAATTAAAAACAAAAATTAATTTGAATTGTCAGTTTCTTATTTTCACATGTGAAAATGAATAGTGAAGAAAATCCGTCACTAAAATTAAATTAACGCAAAATAGAGAAAATCGTATTAGAAAACTATCATTACAACAGAATGTAGGAAAAAGATGGTGATTTATAATGGGTGTACAAAAACCTTTACGGCTTTGTGGGGAAAACTATTTTTGTTCTTAGTTCCTGTCTAAAACGGCTTTATTGATTGAAATGAATGTAATAAATAGAAATAGTAACTGAAGAACTTATTTTTATTAAATTAGGTGAACTGGATACAAAACATAGACAAAACTTAAATAAAGCTAGACATTTTTAAGAAGGATAAAAGTCTGGATTTTTCCTAAGAATCACAAATCCTTCCATAATCGGAGTAAGCGCGATGTATTCCTCCGTTGCTAATTCGGCCCTTTCGCCATACGCCAACAACACGGGAGTTGTATGGGTTTGAAATCCTGTAATAGTCTTAGGTTTGCCAGCCTGTCCCACAACATCAACCGCCTGAAACCAACCCAAAAATAATAAAAATCCCCAACAGAAATAACCCAACTTACAAGACCCACTCGCACCGGCACTGGAAGCGGATTAAGATCTTCATCAAATGTTACCAACATTCGAGGTTGCATCGCCGCGGCAAGGGTGTACAACAAATAGTGAGATTTCCCGAGAATTACTGAAAAAAAAAAATGTCAAAACAATCGACAACACCACATGACTTACTGTTTTTCACATCGAGGAAACCAACCAGTGTTGCCATCAGACCGGCCACGGCCACGGGACTCATCAATTGTCTATCACTGTGATAAGGACTCAAAGTCAAAGTTCCCTTACCTAAATGAGTCAACCCTTGAGCGATTCGTACCATAAATAAATTGTTAGGGTCTTTGGCGTGGAATTGTGCCAATTGACGCAACATTGCTGCCAACCTTGCATTGTTAGTTCCAGCGCCGACTAGACCCATTGCGAATATGGCATTATGGGCGACTTCGGCGTCACTATCGTGTGAGAATTTACTCAAAGTGTCTAAGATACTCAATTTGGGGTTTGATACAGATATGAGGCCAAGTGCGAGAGGCACAGCGCGTCGAATCACCGGTTCGCAGTAGCGTAACAAGTGACCAAAGGTCCGGAAGGCCATGTCACTCCCTATGTCCTCCCCCATACTGATAAGAGCGATCCCCAAAACGGCCACTGCTTGTCTCGCCGATAAATCTTTCTCCTTCTCCTCCTTTTCCTTACTCTTGTCTTTGTTTTTATCATTCCGGCTTTCCTCCTTATCAGCCGGTTCGTAATGTTCGGAACAAATATGGAGCAAATGTTGGACTTTAAGGACGTTTCCAGTCCCGGCATAAGCACAAATATCAACCATTGTCACAGCCATGGCCTTGAACGGCTCGGGGATCACCTCCAAGGCGGCTATAATTGTCTCAATACCCTCCTGTTTCCCCAAATGGCACAAACCGAGACCGAGGGGCAAAAACCTAGCATAGGTGTCTTTCAAATCAGCCTCTGACTTCTCCATCAACGTCTGCATGATAGCTGTGGTGATTTGACTATTTCCAGAGCCGACTGCGATCATACCACACGCTAAAGCCGCCATGCCTATCACCTCCATATTGGATTTCGAGTCGGAAAAAACTGGGGTTAGTAAACTCAAAACAGCCTCACGGTTTGAGCCCACGTATGCCAACCCAAGCCCGACTATAGCCCCAATTCTCATAGTATTGGTATTATGTAAGACATAATCGGACAATAGAGCCAAAGCAGGGTCACACTCGTTCCTAACCCCACAATTAACAATACCACAGGCGAGTAAAGCGCCGGATTTGATGTGGTCCTCGGACGAGTACAAGTACTTATCAATGGGGGTGAGCCCCCCGTCCACGTCCCACAGTAATACCAACCCTAGAGACGCAGTAGCACTCAACATGCCATGCTCTTTGTTCTTATACAACCATTTATTCCCATCTTCCATTAGGAGTTTATCCTGGCCAAAACCAGCATTGACGAAACCATTCACGAAACTAGCGGCGAGATTCTGCCGGGCTGAGTCAACTTGATTTGACCCAAACTGGGGTCTAGTATTCTCCAAATGCGATTTGTAAACGTCTTCCGGTGTTTTAGGTTCCATAATATCAAGCTCACGGGCCAAATTCAAAAAATGGTTATTCAAGTGACAGTTGGCCATGATTTCGACCAAATCCTCGTACTCAGGTGTAGTCTCAGGAATCTCGATATAAATCTGTTGCCGACCGAGCATAAAAGCCAATTGTTTCTGAACCGTCGAGTCAGGACACGACGTGAAAATCTCCTCGATTAAATTATGATCATTGAGTTGCATTGCGAGTCTCAGAGCTTGGGGATACTGATCGAAATTGCGGAATAAAAGCAGGGCTGTTTGCAACAATGTGGTGTTCTCAGGGTCGGCAACGTAAGGAACACAACTTATCAAATACAAGCACACTCTTGGATAAGTGTTCTCGTCCACGTAAACCTCCAACAAGTCGAGTCTTTCAATTTCCATCAACAAATCGCAGGCTTCGGCCTCGGCATTGTGCGCCATGTTGTAAGGGACGATCTGTTTCGCCAATTCGATGAGGACCTCCTTGTCTTTGTCCTCGCAGACGTCGGTTTCGGCCCACTCGGCCGCGATTTCGCCGGCGAGATGACGCACGTATTCGTGGCCCCACTCGCCGATGCCGTCGAGTTTCGACAAGAGGCGGTATTTGAGACACTCGCGGCCTTCGCCCATTGTCATCGCTAGGACTGAAATGACGTCAGCGCAAACGGTTTTTACATTAGGGTCGCGGATTTTCTCATAGACACTTTTCATAGTGCCGTAATGAGGTTTCATGAACTTGAGGGGTTTGGGGACTGAGGTCATGGATGTTGTGGAGGCCCGAATGTGGTTACTGAGGGCCTGGAGAGCCGGAAGGTACAGGTTCTCGTCATTTTCCTGCAATAAATCAAAGCAATGTGAATCTAGCAAGACTAGGTTTTTTTCTCCTGCAAGATTTTGGCTTTGTCTGAATTACCTGCAAAGTCTCGACGCACAAGTTTAACTCCTCCTGCAATTGTTTGTCTTCTTCAGACTGTAAAAAAAGCATCATTAATAGAATTATATTTGATTCAAACAACAAAAATGTAAATCATCATGTACATAACCTCATTCTTGTCAAGCGACAAAAACTATAGTTTTTACAACTATTATTACACATAACTGTAGGAAATAAACGCCTAATAGATGAATAAGTAATTACCAGTTCATTTTTGTCTTCTTCGGTTGGTTTTTCTTCTTTTTTGGGATTTTCTTCTTTTGTATCGCCCATCTTAAAAACTAATTTACAACAATATTATTTGAAGAACAAATGATTTTATAAAAAATTAACAACCTTTAAGTTAAAATGCTGCTAATTATTGGTGTATTTCACGAAAAACACTAAAATTTAAGAAAACTGCCGAAGTATAACGTATTGTGCTCAGTCATTACACTTTTGATCACGTGACCGACAATGCTGGCAACTGAAATAACTAAAACTTTGACTGTGTCTAAAATTACGATCTAAAATTTAAAAATTAAAAGCAAGTAAATAAAATAATTGTTGTCTCATACTTGCAAGCAATGGATTGGAGAAAAAACATGTCGAGACTAATTTTGAGCAATGTTTAAACTTTAAACTTGCAATTACAAACTTGGTTTATTGCCAACATTGCAGTGATTTTATTGCATCGTAAGTCACAATTTTATGACTACAAATTTTCAAACTAATGTTTGACTGAGACCGTAAAAATTTATTAATGAATAAGAAATGAGTAATGTTTTCGTGCAGGATTATTTTTAAGCTTTCTTTGAATACTTGAATGCGATGATTTGTTACAAAGGTAAACAAGTTTGAGTTTGGCGCCGTCGGTTGAATGTCGGGTGTGCTCGCAAAGCGCCCGAAGCAAAGAAAATATCGATGGTAACTGTGATGGTAGATGCATTTAAGAAAAAAAATAAGTCGTTTTTGTGATAATTTTTGTGAAAAAAAGGTAGTTTTGTGTCAAAAAACCAGTTTAAAAATGTGGTTGAGTTTGAAAGCGAGTTAATTCGGACGGTGGCAATAATTTTTTCATTAAAAAAGATGCAGAAAACAGGGTTTCCTGTGCAGCACTTTTGGTTACAAATATTAATGTGTATTTAATTTAATATTGTGTTGTGTGATTGTGTCCGACAGGATTTAAGATGAATTCAGTCGTTTGTAATTGTTTTAAAATTGAATGAGCGTTGGGGTTGTTAGTAATGTTAATTAATTAACGTGAGTGGTGTTGGTGTAGAGAAGGGAGGACGGGGCTCCTCCTAAACCATTGATATGGTCACGATGAACTCCGACAAGGCTGCCACCAAGCGCAAGCCGGAGCCTAACAATGGGGGCTGTACCGGAACTAGTACTAACGAAGACTCTGTCCAAGCACAAACCCCGTCTGTCACTGAGGAGTCCCCCAACCACCTCTTATACAAAAAGGTAACTCTAACTCTGATTAAACAACCCCCAAACCCGCCCTTTCCAGATGGAAAAAATTGTTGAAAAAATGCAAGATGAGACCACGGGGGTGCCGGTTCGTACTGTGAAGAGCTTTATGTCTAAGATCCCTTCAGTATTCACAGGTTCTGATTTAATAATGTGGATGATGAAAAACCTAGACGTTGAAGATCAACAAGAAGCCTTACATCTAGCACACCTCATGGCCGCTCACGGATATTTTTTTCCAATTGACGATCATATGCTTACCGTCAAAAACGATAATACTTTCTATAGATTCCAAACGCCCTACTTTTGGCCCTCTAACTGCTGGGAACCTGAGAATACTGACTATGGTATACTCACAAAACCCTCAAATTTATCTAAATCAACCCTAATCTTTTTCAAGCTGTCTACCTTTGCAAAAGAACAATGCAGAACAAAACACGACTAGAACTTGCCGACTATGAGGCCGAAAATCTGGCCCGCCTTCAAAAAATGTTTTCACGAAAGTGGGAATTTATTTTCATGCAAGCTGAAGCCCAGAGCAAAGTTGATAAGAAGAGAGATAAGCTGGAGAGGAAGGTCTTGGACAGCCAGGAGCGGGCCTTCTGGGATGTGCATCGTCCAATGGTACCATTTATTTATTTATTGGGGGAAAAATTAAAAAATACATAAATAAACCTGTAAATTAACAAAAAAAAAAAGACAAGGAAACTGCCTTGGGGATCAATTTGCGACAAAATAAACCACATTTTGGCCCTGAGAAAGACCAAGATAAGGTTTCTGTTAGTTTTGCTTTGACCTTGAATAAAGTAGCTCTAAAGCTATTTTATTTAAGGTCATTTAATATTAACGATATAACACTAATAATGTAAGATTTTACATTTTTTTAAAGTTGTTATTATTTGCTAGAAATTTGAGAATTAAAAATGTTTCGCCAAATTGAAGAAATCGCCCCGAGTCAAAATTACAAAATTATTTAGGTTTGGTAAATGTGGAATAAATACATCGGCAAAATACCTTCCAAATGACACGCATTTTCGATTTTTTTAACTAACTAAATAAATGAGTAAACTAACAAATGAGTGCTTGAAGAACCTTCTACTATTTTTTCTATTTTGCTTTATATCAAGACAAAAATTTTAAATCTAGGGAATTTTGCGACGGTTGGTGACATTTATGTGGAATAATTTTAGGCGGCTGTGAAAAATAAAAAAAAAATTAATTTGACTTGTCAATTTCTTATTTTCTCATTTGAAGATGAATAGTGAAGAAAGTCAACAAATTTTTCTGTGAAATTTGTGCTAAATTGTTTTGCTTTTTGAAGCCTGGGTGCGTGAACACTACCGAGATTGATATTAAGAAAGCGTGCCAAATGAACAAGCCTTTGCATGGGTTGAAGAACATGCACGTTGGCCCCCCACGAATGTCCCCATCAACATCCGGTGTGAACAGTAATAGTTCTCAAGACTTACTCAAGAAGCAAATCGCACTTTTGAATTCCAGGTTAGAGAGAAGAAACATCAAAGTATCGAAAGCCGCTGAATCGTGAGTTGGTTTTCCCCTGTGGAATTTTTACCGTTTTGTCAGATTTGTAGCATATTATGAGCAGTATTTGGAATATGACAGTTTTTTCGTTGCGCCTGAATACCCAAATCCTTGGATATCCGACAATCCCGAGCTGTGGGAACAGGAGAAACAAGCCAAAGACATATCAGCCCGACGGGTAAAACGCTGGGCGTTTAGTTTGCAAGAGTTGTTGCAAGATCCGATCGGACGGGAACATTTTGTTAAGTTTCTCGATAAGGAGTTTAGTGGAGAGAATCTCAAGTAATGGGTTTTGTGTGTTTGATTTTAGTTTATTTCATTTGTTTAGGTTTTGGGAAGCTGTCCAAGAACTGAAAGCACTGCCACAAAGCGAAGTCCAGAATAAAGTCCAAGATATTTGGATGGAGTTTTTAGCCCCGGATGCAAGCTGTCCAATCAACGTCGATTGTAAGTCCTATGAAATAACCAAGAAGAATATGGAAAGCCAGGACAGATGGAGCTTTGATTGTGCAGCGGTAAAACATAAATCATTTTTGGCTACAATAAAATTGTCTATTTAAGGCTCACGTGTATCATTTGATGAAGAGTGACAGTTACTCAAGGTACCTAAGATCGGAAATGTACAAGGAGTTTTTGAACGGATCGAAGAAAAAAGTAATTGTTTAGATTTTCTTATGCAATTGTTAATTTTGTGATTTCAGACATCGGTGAAAGGGATTCGCTCCATCGTGTCATTTTCAGCACGTAAAGACAACGTAACTTAAATTAAAAATCGAAAACAATTACGTGAGTCTCAAAATTTCATTCTAATTATGACTTATCCAAATATTGGTAAGTTCATCTATCGACAATACAAATATTGCCAGTGGCAGAATTTTTGTTGACTTAATTGTTTGGACAACTTTACTAGTTGTAAATGTCAAAAATTATGTTTACCTGTTCCGTATATATTTTTGGACGAAGTTATGCATGGCGTTTAGTAAATTGATATTCTATAATGATGGAACTCATGATATTAATTGTGTTGTTGTTTTAACAGTTATAGTGACCCAGTGATATTACTAGAAACAGTCTGTTCTTATGATATTAAAAAATGTAAATAAAGTTACTAGCACTAAAACGATTTATTGCTATGTGATACATGCACAAACAAGTTTGATTTTTCGAAATAACTATATATTTGTATAACAAAGAGAAATAGTGAGTGTACATAAATGTGTATATAAAGTTATTATTTGAACTGTGTCACTGTATCTGTTTTAATTTGTAGTTAATTTAAAGTCTGTGCAGTGTAGTTTCACCACTTTGAGGCATTTAGTAAAAATAAAACACTGCCATATACAAATTAACTAATTTTAGTTAATGTATGAAAAAAAAAACAAATTGTATAAGTGAGCGCTACCATATATTTTTTTTAATTAATTTATTTAGCAGAGATGTAACGCTATAGTATTAGTGAAATAAGAATAGGCCGCACCAATTTTTTCCCTTAGACAGTGCAATTACAATATCACCAAATCATTCATGATTGGTACATTTGTATAGGTTCAAAAATTGCCATATGATTTTTCATAGTGTATCCACACTGAGGATTGGAGAGATAAGAACTCCTCCGTGCGGTACACATTGAAAATTGAGGTAAAAGTCTTTATCAAAGCCAGCGCGATGTAATTGCACAAATCGACGATTTTCCACAACCACTTGATCGACCTCCTGCTCAGACTCTGGAAGTTGACCTCAATGCCCCCTTTGTCCTCCCGATCTGCGACAGACGCCCGATACCCGGAGTCAGATTGACTGGCGATAAATTATCAATGATGGTGAATTTCATCAGTCTCCTTGATGTGGGGCGAATCCGTAATGATGTTGGCGATGGGTGTCGAAGCCAAATTGTTGTAAAGTCGAGGCGTGAAAAACGATATTTGCGTTTGGAAGTCTGTTCCGGCTTTTCTTGTTCACGGGGGTGCTCTTGATGGAGGAACTAGGAGGCTGGTGGGGGGTACATTTGGGGGTTGTAACGGGGTATTGTCGTGACTGGGGACCAGGGTCTCACTTTTCTTGCGTCGAACCATTTCTTTCTAACCGTCACTTATGTCAAACTATGAAGTTTCAAATTTAGGGAATTTAGGGAAAATGACACTAGATTAAATTTTCTCAATATTGGTGTACAATGCTTAGAAAATATACTGATAATTATGTTATAAAGGAATTGAACCATATTGTCTCATTGATTATCCATATGTAGATGGATGATTCCACACAGAATTCCAATAAATTATATCATACGAACGAGTCTCTATTACATAACCCAGACATTAATCCAGTCCACAAAAACGCCAGTTTTTATTGTTTTATTACCTTCAAGTCACATACATAATATGCATATTTTTCGAATGAGTTAAAATTCGTGTATAATAAAGCTCATTCTGTAACAAACAATTTTTGAGAAAATCGCAAGTACTCGTGAAGGCAATCTATACTCCGGGATAACTTATAGGAGTAAACTATTTTTTCATAATATAAAATTCTCGATTTTTCGATAAGAATTAAAGTATTCACTTAGGTAGTAACAATTTTGATTTATTTTAGAAAAATTAATAATGTCGTGTTAAAGATAAAAATAGTATATTAAAAAACAAGGGTTGTTAGTAAAAAGCTCTTATGTTTTTTATGCGCTATCCTTTACTTATGCTTTGTTCACTTATTTGTTCATATACCCGCCATCTTTTATTGCTTATTTGAATTAGTGAAAAAAACTATAACTTCTAAACGATCAAGAATTTTGAAGTTTTCTCGACACCAATCGATTTTTTGGAATACTTTACATACGTATGTTTAAAAACAGATTATAACGTTTGAGGTAAATTCTTTTTTTACAAAATAAAAAAGGAAAAATTTGTAAATCTTCTGAAGTTGTGACTACATCGAAAATCTTTTTTTTTAAATCATTTGTTTCCAGAAAATAATAAAACGTAAATTAAAGTAATATAAAAATGTGATCTTATTTTTAGTTATGCAATTTTTTTGTCAAAATTTATGTAATAAAAAAATAATCTAATATATAGACTGACCCATCAACCCACAGCCTAAACCGCTGGAGATAAAATTTTGAAATTTTCACAGTAGATACCTTTTATAATGTAGGCATCTACTAAGAAAGGATTTTTGGAAAATCAACCCCTAATGGGAAGGTGAATTTGAAGGTTTAAAGTAATATCCTTGAAAATTGATATTTAGACTTTCGGTTAAAAAGAAAAAAATACGTATTTTAAGATTTTTGGAAATTCCACCCCCAACGGGGTTGAACAAGGGTAAAAGGTCGTAAAATATCCGATTTTTTAATGTTAAATCCATGAAAATTGGTATTTTCGCTTTCAGTTGAAAACAAAAAAAACACAAGTTTCAGGATTTTGGAAAATTTCATTAAACAAGGGATGAAAATTTATATAAATATTTTTAAATCGTTATTCTTGAAGTTATATTTATGAAAATTGGGATTTAGTCTTTCGGTTAAAAATGAAGAAATAGGTGATTTAGGATTTTTGAAAATTCCATCTCCAAGGGGGTTAAACAGGGACGACAGTTTATATTAAAATTTGTCATTTTTAAAGTTAAATCCTTGAAAATTGGAATATAGACATTCGGTTCAAAATGAAGAAATACGCATTTCAGAATCTTTGGAAATTCCACCCCCAACTGGGTTAAACAATGGTGAAATTTCGTAAAATATTTGTATTTTTTTAAAGTTAATTCCATGAACATTGGTGTTTGGACTTTCAGTTAAAAACCAAAAAACACGTATTTCAGGATTTTAGAAAATTCTATCTCCAAGGGGGTCAAACAGAGGATGAAAGTTTTTTTAAATATAGGTATATAGATTTGTAATTTTTGAAAATATATTCATCAAAATTAAAATTTCAATTTTCAGTTAAAAATGAAGAAAAGGTGTTTTAGGATTTTTGAAAATTCCACCCCCAAGGGGGTTAAACAGGGATGACAGTTTGTATTAAAATTTGTCATTTTTTGAAGTTATACCCTTGAAAATTGATACTTGAGCTTTCGGGCAACACCTGTATTTTTGGAAATTTCACCCCAAAGGGGGTTAAACAGGGTATAAAAATTTGTATCAAAATTTGTCATTGTTAAGTAATATCAATGAAAATTCGTCCATTTTGATATTAAATCCATAAAATATAATTATAGTTTTATTACCACTACAAAATAATTTTCTCTGATTTTATTTTATTTTACATCCTTTTTGATTTATAAATTGACGTTTATTCAAAAATTTAAGTGCCAAAAAAGATAAAGGAAAAGGCAGCAACAAGAATTAAAGAATATAATCAAATATCTCTAGATTTTATTTTGTTAAGACTGTAACTTACAATTACTTATTTAATTTGGAAGATTTCACTTTTTAATTCTAATAAAATTTCTTTTAATATTAAAATATGAGTGTAAGGTAGTAAATAAAAAACGAGTGTATTTATAGTGTTTTACTTATCGCAAATCCTACATGATTGTTGTTTATCTTACATATTATTCTAAATAGCGAATGATGGTAAAAAAGTCATCCACAGCCTCTTTCATAAAAATATTCACGTCAATATAAAACAAAAACAACATACAAAAGTATCACATAAATAAACTCGAACTGAACCGATATGCAAGTCGTTAACTACAAGAACCCTCGTTATAAATTTGTACAGTAATGGACTTTCGGACTTAAACTGATTGCCTATACCAGTATTTGTTTGAGCATTACTAAGTTAGTGTTATTATATTTGGCGAAATCTAAAGGTTGTGACGGTTCATTTTTCTTCGTTTGTGTGTGCCATACTAAAATCTGCAAGAAAAAAAAATTAACCCAACACCCTACTTGCCCCACTCCTCACTTTTGTGCAATTTGAAGCTAACAATTCGATGTCTTGAGGTTCAAAAGGTTCGAGACTTTTCAAAAAGCCGTCCTCTTCGAAACCAGGCTTGAACGGCATTAAAGCTTTAGGACGCTTCAACAGAAACTCAACCGAGACAGCAAAGCCGGCCATATCAACGGGAAACTTGCGACCGGCCACCCACCCGTCATAAAAACCAGAAAACCGCCCATTTCGCACGATGGGCGAACTCACACCGAGTTTGGTAATCAACCCAACAGGAAACATGGACACGCGTTTGGTGTACCGAATCTGAAAAAATACTTATTGACAATTCGCAAGGTCCTGTCTTCGAACCTCTGCGAACAACTGGAGGTCGTAAGTGTTGTCGTCATCGGCGAAGTACAAAACTCCGGTCTTTGCATTTTGGCGGATCCACTGCAAGCCCCGATTTCGGTTCGAGACGCCTCTAGGTTTCGGACCTTTTTTCTTCTTCCGGTATTGTTCAGGCATCGGGGCTAAAAAAAATCAAAGCTTGGTCCGGTGCAGGGCCGTCTTAAGGTATTTGGCGCCTTTGGGCTACTAAAAGTAATGCGCCCCTCATAAGAAACTACATGGAAAGGAAAGCGGGGATCGGGGTACAATACAGGGGGTGCGCCAGAACTCGCTCCCCAGAAAAAAATTTAGGTTAGATACCAGGAACATGAAAAAATTTTTTTAAAAATTATATCATTTATTTTTTGACATTTGACATTTTTTTATGTCTGTTTAATGATACTGATGATCCTGTATATGCTTTTTTTAAATTATTTAGTAAAGGTATAAAAATTTTGCCAATAAAAGTCACAAATAACATTTAACAGAGTTTCAATTTAGGATACAGCTTCCTTGTTTCCTCTTTTAATAGACTACAGCAAAAAAACATGGAAAATTCTAACAGAAATAAATAGAGTCAAATTGCAAAATTCAAACCCTCATAACTCATAATTTTTTTTAACATTATACTAGGTGAATAAAAAGTATGGAACCAAACGTTTTTTGCTTAAACTATTTATTTTTTGAAAAAACTAATTGATGAGTGATAAAGTACTATAAAAATGTGATGACTTAACAAGAATAAAATTTTTCGAAATTTCCTTTTGTTTTTGAGTTCTACAAAAAAAATATTGTTTTAAATGCAACCCACTATAAAATCATTTTTCTCATAAAAGCTATACTCTAAGGATTACAACTATCTGCTTTATATTAAATTTTTTTCACATATATTGTGACAAAAAAATATCGCATTACTCAAAAACAAAACAAAATTTCGTTCTGAAAATACGATCACATTTTTTATATTACTTTAATTTATATTAATTATTATTTTCTGGAGGCAAATGATTAAAAATAAAACCGCTTTCTTTTTCTATTTTTTTTTTGATAACAAATGAGGCCGTAACAGTTTTGTGTGTTTTATGAATACTTTCTGTTAATTTATCTATAAAGTTTTTACACTAAATGAAACTGTACCTACTAGCGCATCAAACTTTGATATCACAATCACAAATTTTGACTTGTTTTCCTAAATAATCGCTTTTTTTATTTAAACACAAACCAAACCCGTGATTTATGACTAAATAATGGTATAATTTGCCAAAAAAAGAATCATTTACTGGTAGCCAACCACTTTCAAGTCTCTTATTCTTGTAAATCTTGGAATATTACCCCAATTACAGTTCCCCACTGTCACATAAATTTACGATGGCACAAGTAGCAGGTCATAAATAAAAATGACTTTCAAAGTTAATATCGAAAATTGCGTTTAATTCAAAATCTAATGGTATTTTTTTTCTGATTTTGTAAATAATTACAGTAAGTGAATCTGCGTAGGTCAGTATAAAAATTAGAATTCAACTATTAATTTGTTTTCGGCTTTGTTTGTACATGAAAAATTACCAAAAAATTATGGACTGTACCTTATTAATGCCCAGGTAAGTGTGAAAAATTTCAACAATTTTATTTAATTAGAAGTGGGGATTTTTTTTCTGCGCGTAACCGATGCTCCACCCGGTACAGGGTGCCCGAGCGAATTGATGAAGTTCATTATTGATCTTTTCATGTTAGAATTTAAAAAAAAAAATATGTAGGACATTGATACAAATCTAGTGCATCGCCTGAAATTATTTTCAACTATACAGCGTGTCTCAAAAATAAGTTTTCTTTTTAAATAAAACACCATTATGTTTCTTGGCATCTTTGAATGAAACTTTTTATTATAATAAATAATGTCTTTATAATGTTTTTATTGATCGATTTTGCTTAGTTTTTGAAATAAGTTGTTTTTTTGACGAAAACATACTTTTTTTTATTACTCAAAAACAGACAGCTAGAATTTTTTTTTAAAAACTGAGACAGATAGGAAAATTTTTTTCTACTGCAAGGAAGAAAGAAAAAATTTTAAGGATACCTGCAACAGTTTTTTATTGCATTTGTAATGATGAAACATTTTGTTGAAACTTAAATAATTTAAACAGAACACTCTATTTTTGGTTTTTGTATCTTACAGATTTTTAAATTCTCTGTCTAAAAAGCTAGAACATTTTTTTTAAACTGAGACAGGAAAAAATTTTTCTATTGCAAAAAAGAAAGTAAAATTCTAAGGGTATAACAGTTTTTATTGCATTTGTAATGATGAAAAATAAAGAATTTTGTTAAATCTTAAATAGTTTCAACAGATCACCCTATTTTTCGTTTTTGTATCTAAGAGATTCTTAAATTGTCTATCTAAAAAGTTAGAACATTTTTTTTTAAACTGATACAGGAAAATTTTTTTCACTGCAAGGAAGAAAGTAAAAATTTTAAGGATACAACAGTTTTTTATTGCACTTGTAATGACGAAAAATTTTGTTAAATCATAAATAGTTTAAAGAGAACACCTTAGTTTTCGTTTTTGTATCTAAGAGATTCTTAAATTGTCTGTCTAATAAGCTTCAACATTTTTTTTTTTTAATTGAGACAAGAAAAAATTTTTAT